CCTGGCCCGGCCTGGTCTCCCCCATCCTAGCGCTGGGTGGCTGGCGTGCTCTCCCTTCCTGTTTGTCTCACCTCCTGAGGTGCTGTTCTTTCCAGGGAGGCGGGCAGCCAGGGTTTCCTTTGGCCCCTTCAGGGAAAAGATTGACAGCCGCAGTGTGTTCCCACCTCTGACGTTCCCTCACCCTTAGGGCCGAGGGACGGACTTGGCCAGGTGAGAAAGGCTAGGATCAGAGCCCCAGACCAGAGGAGGGAGACTCGGTGTGGAGCTGCTGGGAAGGCAGTCTCCCCTCCATGCTGCCCCCTGCCTTGGACTTCCTGGAGGAGGAGGCCTGCCGGGCTGCACCAGGGAGCCCAGGCCTGGCAGCCGCCCCACCTCACCCACCCAGCGCCCTGCGGGTCTCGCTCTTCTCCCCACTCCCATTGCCCGGCTGGCTGGGGCTTCGGGGCAGAGCTGGCCTTGTTTGAGCTCCAGCCTCAAACGTACTATGGTATCACCGTGGGAAGCTGGAGGGAGGCCGGCGAGGGCTCGTGCAGGGGACACGGGAGGGCTGAAGGCCGCAGGTGTGCCTCGCCTTGATGGGTCTCCTCCCCTGCCTGCTCCAGGCCACCCCGATTTCTCCGTCTGTACGGAAGATCACACACAGCATCGTGGGGCGGGGACTCCACCGCAGAGCCTCCTGTCGGCAGGGCAGGATGGGGAAGCTGAGGCGCAGGGGAGCCAGACCTTGCCCGGGTCACAGAGGGCACCTCCTGCATCTCCAGATGCCCCCTCTGTCTGCCAGGGGCTCCTGGGCGGTCAGTGGGTGCCCCTGGCCTCCTCAGCCTTCGGCCTCACAGAGCCTTCCTCCCTCCACAGGCACTGATTCCGGCAGCGAGGTGCTCCCTGAGTCCTTCCCGTCGGTGCCGGCCGAGCCGCTGCCCCACTTCCTCCAGGAGCCGCAAGACGCCTACATCGTGAAGAACAAGCCGGTGGAGCTGAGCTGCCGCGCCTTCCCTGCCACACAGATCTACTTCAAGTGCAACGGCGAGTGGGTCAGCCAGAATGACCATGTCACACAGGAGGGCCGGGACGAGGCCACGGGTGAGCCGCCCACTGGCCTGGTCACGCCCAGGACACCAGGGACACCCCCACCCAGAGGTGTCAGGGACACTGGGTCCTGGGCTTCACCACCCTAGACTCTGTGTGAGACTTCAAGCAGCCATGGCGCCCCTCTGGGCCTCAGTTTCCCCTCTGTGGTCCACCCTGGGTCAGTATTTCCCAAGGGTTGGCCGCGTGGCGCAGGCTGACGTTGGGTGGTCAAATGAAGTGGTACCTAATCCCTTGCTGAGCTGAGCGCTTGTTCCCTTTCCCCGTGTCTTCCCATCCTGCTCAGCTCGGGGAGCAAGTCTAGCCGGGGGCCAGGGTTCCTCACCAGCACCAGCCAGGGCTCTGCCTCCTGCTCCCCACGCTTCAGAAGCTCCAGACACGCTCCCCTCTCCTTCGGTGTGGGCTGCACCCTAGCACGCCCTCTACGATTATTTACTGAATATCGACCCTTTAAAACGAAAACAATTCATTTCTATGAAGGAAACACTGCAGGGAATGGAAACTCCCACAGAGAAGACGTGTGGTACGGGGATGGTCTAGAACAGTGGTCGGCAAACTGCAGCTGAGGAGCTACATGCGGCTCTTTGGCCCCTTGAGAGTGGCTCTTCCACAGAATACCACGTGCGGGCGCACACGTACAGTGCAATTGAAACTTTGTGGCCCATGCGCAGAAGTCGGTATTTTGTGGAAGAGCCACACTCAAGGAGCCAAAGAGCCACATGTGGCTCGTGAGCCGCAGTTTGCCGACCATTGGACTCTAGAACCCTGCCTCGGTGCAGCCCAGGCCAGGGCTCCCGGACAGAGCCTCTGGCTCCTCTTTGTTAGACAGGGCGCGCAGCCGGTGCTGGCCACCTGCAGGCCACCGGTGTTGGGCAGCCCCAGAACCCAGGCCCAAGGGGGCTCCCTGGCCCCAGTGCCTGCCTCGGCTTTTGTGTTTGTGTTTCTTCCTTGATCCGTTTCTTTCTCCTGCTTGTCCAGCCCCCTCTTATTTCCATCTGTGTCCCACCTCTCCCTTCTGATCCCCGTCTCCGTCTGCGTCTTTTTTCCTTATGTTCCGCCCCCCCACCTCCCTCCCCTCTCCCTCTCTCGGTCCCCACCCCCACCTTTATTCTCTTTTTTCTCCTTCTCTCGTTCAGCCTCACTCTCTATATGTCTCCCCTGACATTCTTTCTCACTCTCTCTCCTTTTTTCTCTCTTCCCCAGCTTCTGTTTTTCTATGAAAAGCTCGTACATTTCAGAACCACCCAGGCTTAAAACTATACCCCATAATGTACTTAATATCACGGAACTAAAAATGGTTAAAATGGTTAAGTCTTATATCGTGTATATTTTGCCAAACTTTTAAAAGAACATTTAAAAATAGACCCAGAGTTGCATTCTTACCCAAAATCTAAAAGTAAAAAAAGCAATTTTTAAGAGACAAATAATCTATGCCAGCTACCCCCACTGTCGGGGTGCGTGATCCCGGGGAAGCCACCGGCCTCTCTGAGCTCATTCCCCTCCTTCTGGACTGGGAGTTGCTGGAAGGTCCTGGTGAGACCCGCACAGCACTGAGCATGCAGGACCCAGACATGCCTTTTCCTCCGTCCTCTTCCTTTAAAACTTGGCCTTACTGCTCTGTCCTCCTGAGCCCCTCCGGCCGGTATCAGAGGTCAGCCAAGGGGTCCAGGCAGAGCAAGGGGACAGTGTACCCTGCTGGGGACCCTCACAGCCCCTGCGATTATTAGTAATAGTAGCAACGTGGCTCTTACACTCCCGCTACCAGGCGCATAAGCCCTGCCAGCCCTAGAAACTGGGGCACTGTTGTCCCATTAGCTACAAAGAATGGACAGTGGTCCCGTGGGCCACTCCCCTGGCAGCAGTGTGGCCGGTTCTAATCGAGCCTCCTGCTCCCCACCCCTGGCCTTTCTGAGGCCCTGAAAACACAGAGGATGACAGCTCTGGGCCAGGACAGGCGGGACTGGTGGCAACTCATGCCAGGATGTGGCAGGCAGCCCAGTTCCGTGTCCTCACCGAGGCACTGCCTGCCAGGCTGCCATCACACTGGGGGGCGGGGGAGCACCTGGTGCTGGGGCCCAAGTCTAGGAGGCCAAAGGCCCCATCATCCTCCCTGCCGGCCGGGACCATGACCAAGGTGTCAAGCTGCCCGGGATGATCGTTTCCCTCTGTCCAGCTGGTGGGTGTTGCCGAAACACTATGGATGGATGGGCCCCTTGAGAGGAAGCAGTGGGGAGGGCTGGCTCACCACCTGGACACTAAGGGCCAGGGGCCCTGCTCCCCTGCCGTGGGCCACGCAGCATAACTCCCTCCCACCTTCAGAGCAGGCAGCCACTGCGAGCGAGCAGAACCCAACAGCAAACTCTAGCCCCTCCCATGAAGGTCCCTGGTTATCGAGGGGCTCCCCAGGGTCAGCCCCTCCCCCTGTGATGCAGGAGAGTTAAGGCAACGACTTTACTTGGAGAGGTCCAGAGAGACGTCATGTTCAGGACAGAGTTCTAACCTGGCAGGACACCAAGAGCACTGATCTCAGCTCTGCCGGCAACTTGCTGTGGGCCGTTGGGCCTGCCCCCTACCCTTTCTGAATCTCTGTTTCTCCAAATGTACAAGGAAGGGCTGGGTGAGGTCCAGATGACCCGACAGAGTGGCTTTGTGTCCAGCGTGAGCTGTGTGCTGTGGCCCAGTAAGTGCCATGATGCATTTAGCATTTCCCCTGAGTGTTTTATTGTGATGAGGGACCTGAGGCTCAGAGAGGCTAAGTCACTCCGTGAAGGTCACAGAGCTGGGGAGGGAGGGTGAAGCCAGGATTCAAACCTGTCCCTCTGTCCAGCTTTGTTTAACCACCATGTCACAGCACTGCATGTGTACAGGCGACAGTCCTGCCCTCAGGGGGCTTATTAGAACCCATGTGCAGCCATGAAAGTGTGAGCTGGGACACATGGCAAGGAGGAGCAGCTTTAGGGATTCTGGGAGGGCTTCCTGGAGGAGGAGGTTCCACAGTTCTCCCACAGCTTTGGGGAGGAGCCTCAGACCAGCACCCTCATCCAGGAGGGCTCACTTTTTCTCCTGAGCCTAGAAGGCTTTGCCAAGGGAGAGTTGGCAGAAGAGTGAGTGATTCCCTCTCTGTGGGCTAGTGGGTGCAGTTATCCAGGGAGGTCTTCAGGTACTGACAGGGAGCCAATGAGAGGTCAGGGGGCTCCCAGGAAGAGGGTCACATCAATAAATGATGCTGTTCCAGACAGTGGTGGGTGCTGTGGGGAAACCAGGCTGGCAGGAATGACAACCAATGTCTGGTGCAGTGGTAGGGGCACTGAGCAGGACTTTGAGAGCCGTGGGCATGGACCAGGGTCAGGGGGCTTCCCTCCAGAAGTGAGGCCCCGCCCAAAGCTGCCTGGGAGTTCACTGGACACAGGACAGAAGGGAGTTCCCGGCAGGGTACTGATGCGTAAAGAGCCTGTGGCTAGAGGGGCCAGGGTAACACGAGGGTCTGGAGGACGCCCAGGGAGGCTGTAGTGAGTAGATTGTGCAAGGCCTGGGGGCCAGATGGAGGGCCGGGTCTTCACGCTGCGAGGACTGGAGACGTAACCAGGGGAATGACAAGCCATTGTAGATTCGGAGGAGCCCACGCTGGCTGCAGGGGGAGAGCGGATGGATGGGGAGAGATGGCCTGTGTTAGCCATTGCCATTTCCCGGCGAGCTGCAGTGGCGGCTGGGGTCAGGGTGGAGCAGAGAGATGAGAAGATGATGGAAATGAGAGGCACTTGGCAGACGAGCCGAAAGGAGTCCGGGGTGGAGAAGCAGACATGTCATGGTGCCCTGTCCTGTGTCCTGTGTCCTCAGACCTGCCCCCTGACCGTGTCTCTCCTCCTCCCAGGCCTGCGGGTGCGAGAGGTGCAGATCGAGGTGTCCCGACAGCAGGTGGAGGAACTGTTTGGGCTGGAGGATTACTGGTGCCAGTGCGTGGCCTGGAGCTCTGCGGGCACCACCAAGAGTCGCCGGGCCTATGTCCGCATCGCATGTACGCCACCCTGACGTTCCCCTCCACACACCCCAGTCCCTGGGCCCTTTCCCCTTCCCTGTGGATCCCGGAGAGGGAATTCCACTGCCGTGGGGGGATCTAGCTGCAGACGCCCACCACAGAGACATCAGGGCCCATGGACGCCAGCCAGAGAGGGCTTCTAGACCCAGAACCTGGGCCCCCTCTGGCCCACAGATTTGTAAAGGCCAGTTTTCACCACATCTATATAAGGAAGCTGCCAGCTTCCTCGCCATTCCAGGCCAAGGGGAGGGAACCCTGTTTCTACAACTCCACCTGGTCAGGCCCCGCGTTAGAGTGGCTATTCCCCAGGTAAAAGCCAGGTGTCCCCACGATCGTTCCCTTGGTGTGCACTGCCACCTCGTGGCTAGAATGGGGCACTGCAGCCTCCAGACTGTGCCTTGTCCCCCCCCTCTTCCCAGATCTGCGCAAGAACTTCGACCAGGAGCCTCTGGGCAAGGAAGTACCCCTGGACCACGAGGTTCTCCTGCAATGCCGCCCACCAGAGGGGGTGCCTGTGGCTGAGGTGAGTGGGGACATGGAGGACCTGGGCATGGCAGAGGCCAGTGGGCATGGCATTTGCCACCAGCCATGATATGATGCCTCAGGCTCCCAGAGCCTCCCCATTTCACAGAGGAGGGAACTGCAACCTCTGCACAACTCAGCACACGCCACACCCCGGCTGGGCCCTCCGCACGTGCAACCCCATGGGGTGCGGTAGAGCTGGGGCAGGAACCCCCAGGACTCCTTGGGTCGGCCGCAGGCTGTACACACCACTTCCCCCAGCCCCACCCAGGGGTCATCTTAACCATTGTGTTCTGTGGTGTTCCGCGGAGTGCCTGGCTGGCGGAGGCCCCGCCTCACTGCGTCCCCACGGTGGGTGGACATGGAGAAAACCGCCACCCTGCCTATGGTCAGACCTCCCTCACACTCCAGAGAGGGAGCAGGCACTGGGTCCTCATGCCCCCCACCCTGTTCCTGCAGGTGGAATGGCTCAAAAATGAGGACATCATTGACCCCACCCAGGACTCCAACTTCCTGCTCACCATTGACCACAACCTCATCATCCGCCAGGCCCGCCTGTCAGACACGGCCAACTATACCTGCGTGGCCAAGAACATCGTGGCCAAGCGCCGCAGCACCACGGCCACCGTCATCGTCTATGGTGCGGGCCAGAGGGGGTCAGACATGGCCAGGGAGGGGGGGAGGACAGCCCAGGGCTAGATGGCCACCTGACCCGCCCTACTCAGGACACAGCCGGACCCTGGGCAGCCAGTGAGCAGGAGGAAGCCCACAAGGTTACATAGCAAAGCTAGTTAGTAGTCGAGTGAGGCCCCCTGAGTCCCTAGCCAGGAGCACCCACTCTTCTCAGACCCTTTTCCTGCCCCTGAAGGAGGAGACCCAGCTCTCAGAGTCAGGTCTGGGGCACGGCCAATCGGGATCCCCATACCCTAGCCCAGTGGTCGGCAAACTCATTAGTCAAAGAGCCAAATATCAACAGTACAACGATTGAAATTTCTTTTGAGAGCCACATTTTTTAAACTTAAACTATATAGGTAGGTACATTGTTATTAACTTAATTAGGGTACTCCTAAGGCTTAGGAAGAGCCACACTCAAGGGGCCAAAAAGCCGCATGTGGCTCGCGAGCCGCAGTTTGCCAACCAGGGCCCTAGCCCATTGCCCTAGCAGAGTTAGGGGCTGCTGGCCAGGCCCGTAGGCTGTTCCTTGCTTCCCCTGGGTGGGAAGGGCAGAGCCACACCTGAGATTCCTTGGATGTTGTAGAAAGAACCCCACACTGGGTTCCAGTCCCAGGTCCCCCATCGCTCTTGGGAGATCCTGGGTGTCAGCCCTCTCTGGACTTTGCCATGTTACAAGGGGGTGGGGAATAGACCAAGACCTCGAAGGTCCTGGTGCTGAAGGTTGCAGCCAGGCCTGCCTGCTGGTATCTGAGTGCCTAGCCCCGCCGGCAGGAGGGGTCCAGCTAGGAAGGGCCAGCCTCAGCAGAAGACTCGTCAAGGGTGGAGAGATAGGGTTAGGGGGCCCATGGGGTCACAGAGCCAGGCCAATGGGGTGACACCTGCTGCCCCTGCAGTGAACGGCGGATGGTCCAGCTGGGCAGAGTGGTCGCCCTGCTCCAACCGCTGTGGCCGAGGCTGGCAGAAGCGCACACGGACCTGCACCAACCCCACCCCGCTCAACGGAGGAGCCTTCTGTGAGGGCCAGGCCTTCCAGAAGACTTCCTGCACCACCGTGTGCCCAGGTAAGGCCTCTGGCCAGGTGAGACCCTGCCCACAGCACGCCCACGCCCAGCCCCCAGCCCTGTCTTCTGCTGTGGTGTCTGCCAGAGTCAGGACGGCCTTTCTCTCCCCGCGTGGGGAACAGCAGGTGCTTGTCCAGGGCCCACAGCTGGCTGAAAAGGCTGGGCGAGGTGCTATGACCTCTGACCTTTGTTCTTCCCTGGCTGCTGAAGAGACAAGGCAGAGGCTCTGAGCTGAGCTGCGGTCTGAGGGGTGGGCTCTGCTGCCCTCTACGCTGAGGGTGCCAGCCCCCTGGGCCGGGGTCCCAGAGCTGCCTGGAGTTAGGGCGCCTGCACGCCTGTACTTGACTGTCAGGCACACCGAGGCTGCTGACCCTGATCCGCTTCTCCTTTTGTCTTTGTGTGACTGCCTCTCCATCTGTGTGTCTGTCCTTGCTTGTCTGGCTGTGTGTCCTCTGGTTACATGTTTCTGTGCGTGGTGTGGTATTTACTGGGTTTGTATCCTTGTGTATGTACTTGTGCATTGGGCTGCCTCTGTGTGACTTTATGCATCTACTTGTGTTCTCTTTGCCCACCGGGCACACCTGGCTCTGCATTGGTCTGGGGCTGTGTGGGTGTGGCATGGAGTTCTCTGTATGGCCTGTATGGTGCTTTGTGTTCTGTGCACGTAACTGTGTGTGTGCGTGTGTGTGTGTGCGTGTGTTCTCATGTGCCATGTGCTGTGCTCCTGTAGTGGATGGAGCGTGGACAGAGTGGAGCAAGTGGTCAGCCTGTAGCACGGAGTGTGCCCACTGGCGCAGCCGAGAGTGCATGGCACCCCCACCCCAGAACGGAGGCCGAGACTGCAGCGGGACCCTGCTCGACTCCAAGAACTGCACCGACGGGCTGTGCATGCAGAGTGAGTCCTCGGGAAGACGGATAAGGGACCCCCCAGCCGCACCCCCAGGCCTCAGTGCCCAGCCTGCAGCGGAACAGCCCCTCGGGGCCCCTGCCCACCCACCACACCCATCATCTCCTCCGGGCCATTCTCCGTCACCGTCTCTACCACCTTTCCCTGCCACCTGTGTCATTGTCTTTCCCTTTATTTCCCTCAACAGATAAGAAAACTCTAAGTGACCCCAAAAGCCACCGTAAGTCCCATTTCATGCTGTCCTCTTTCCTCCGGGGCTCTCCTTGGCTGGCCTTTCCAGGGTGTGGGGGGCCGGGCCGGGGGAGTGGAAGGTGCCTCCCCCCGACCCTCCCCGGGGTGCCTAGGACCCGCTGTAGGTGTCACGCCTCCATTACACGCAGATAGGCAGACCCTGGGCTGACAGAAAGGCCCTGGGGCAGCATCTTGACCCTCACAATACAGGACAAGAAGCTAAATCTGAGAAGGCACTTACCCAGGGACCCAGCCAGGTTTGAACTGGATGTTTTCCGGGCAAATCTGCTGCTCGCAGCCCCACCCCCTTGGCCTCCGCTCTGGACCAGGGCCAGGGGGCAGGCCCACACCTGTCCATCATGGTGCCCCACTCTGTACCCCAGCAGCTGGCCAGAGCCTCCCCAGGTCCCTGGGCTGCCTTCAGCCCCGAGGGCTTGGCCTCTAACCCCCAGAGGCTGCACTACATTAATTCAAGAGCAGTAAAGCCGCCTGGGGAGATTGGCCTGTGGTAATGAAACCACAATTTCCAAATAATTCTGGAGTCATAAAATCAGCAGTGAGCCCCTCCCCCAGTTCACTGGGGGCCGAGCTGTTGATAGATTAGAAAGTGTAAATCTCTAGGCCAGTGGCCCCACTGGTTAGCGGGACATCAGGAGGCAGAGCCCGGCCCTGGGAGTAGAAGCCCCCAGAGGGGTGGGGGTCCATCCCTGAGGGCTGCTGAGGCCAGCGGGGGTACCAGAAGGTGCGAAGTAGGCGGGCACGGTGCCCTCCCCGAGGGCCCAGGGACGGGACAGATGCCGCCTGGAACTCCCACAGCAATGATCTTGGTTCTGCCTGTGCTGTCCAGTATGGCTCTTTAAGCTTACATTTACCTTAATTAAATTAAATATATTTAGAAATTCAGTCCCTAAGTCTCACTGGCCACAGTTCAGTGGTTCAGTGGCCGCATGTGGTTGGTGGCTGTCGTGTGTAGCAGCACAGACATAGAGTGTCTTCATTCATCATCATGGGAATTCTGTTGGCCAGCCCTCCGTTAGGCCCTGAGTCTTGACCTGACCCCTGCCTGCCCGGCTGTGCGGAGTTATTCCAGCTGTGCAGCAGCCTGCCCTGCCCCCACCAGAGCGGGTGTCCTCCAGCCCAGTGGCCGGCCTGGGGGAGGGGAGTGTAGCCAACGGTCGCCTCCCTGAGCCCCTTCCTTCGCCTCCACCTGCTCACCTCCTCTCCACCCCATTGCCCTGCATCTCATTCCCCTCCACCTGCTCCCCCTCCTCCTCCTCCCCCTTCACCTCCCACCCCTCAGCACAGAGCGGGAGCCAGGTGGGTCGGAGCCGCCACTTGCAAACATTGGGGGAGCCTGGCCCTCTGGTCCTCTGGAGGTTTGCCACGGGCTGCAAGGGAGACTCTAGTCTGGATCCCAGCTCCGACAGGACAAACTGTGACCCAGTGACTGAGCCACAGACCCTGGCTCCTCAGCAATGAGCAGTGAATTACTCCGGGGAGTGACAAGTCACGTTGCCTCTCCTTGCCACTGAGAGGGGAGCAGGCCAGAGGTTTTGAGACCATTTTACTTATAGAGGCTGGTGCTCAGAGAGGTTCAAGTCTTGCCTGAGGTTACCAGCCTGTCGTAGCTGGGATCGGACTAGAACCCAGGCCCTGCCCCTCCCTAGGGACCCCGGGCCTCCCTGGCTCCCCCAGGCTGGGCCTCTGCCCCTGCCCTCACACAGCCCTCCCGTCCTGCAGTCCTGGAGTCCTCGGGGGACGTGGCGCTGTATGCCGGCATCGTGGTGTCCATCCTGGTGGTGGTGGCGGTCCTCATGGTGGTGGCGGTGGTGGTGTACCGCCGCAACTGCCGAGACCTGGACACTGACATCACCGACTCGTCCGCCGCCCTCACCGGAGGCTTCCACCCCGTCAACTTCAAGACGGCGAGGCCCAGTAAGACCCGGGGGACGCCTGGTTGGCAGGTGGGGACAGGGCACCCAGCGGGGTGTGGCAGACAGACTCCCTCCTGGGGTCCAGAGTTCGTTCTAGAGCTGACCATGCGGGTTGGTTTGGATTTGAGAGATGCAGAAAAGGGAAAAAGGGGCGACCCAGCCTGGTGGGTCCCCGAAGCCTTTTGCGGCTGGACATTTGGGTGGGGTTTTGCAACAGGCGGGTCCCTGGCAGGAGCGGAATGTGGGACGGGGCCAGTGAGGCCCGCCTGGGTCTGACTGCAGCCCCGCCTCTGCAGACCACCCACAGCTCCTGCACCCTTCTGTGCCCCCCGACCTCACTGCCAGTGCCGGCATCTACCGCGGGCCCGTGTACGCCCTGCAGGACTCGGCCGACAAGATCCCCATGACCAACTCGCCCCTGCTGGACCCCCTGCCCAGCCTCAAGATCAAGGTCTACAGCTCCAGCACCACCGGCTCCGGGTCAGGCCTGCCAGATGGGGCTGACCTGCTGGGGGTCCTGCCGCCCGGCACGTACCCTGGCGACTTCTCCCGGGACACCCACTTCATGCACCTGCGCAGCGCCAGCCTCGGCTCCCAGCAGCTCCTGGGCCTGCCCCGGGAGCCGGGGAGCAGCGTCAGCGGCACGTTTGGCTGCCTGGGCGGGAGGCTCAGCATCCCCGGCACAGGTGGGTCCCTCTCTGCTTGCCTGTCAGCGTGGCTTTGGCACATCCCCTGGACAGCCCAGCACCCAGCAGAAGATAGGCCTTCCCAGAGCCCATTTCACAGACCAGGAAAGAGAGGCCCAGGGGGAAGAGGTGACCATAAAATAGAAGGCCTGGGGTCGAAGCCTGTCTCTGCCTCACTATGGCAGGGGACCCTTGGCCCAGCCAAGCCCTAAACCTCAGTTTCTCTATCTGTTAAGTGGGGAGAATACCCCATTGTAATTCAACGGAACTACAGTGCTGTCCTAGGTTCTGGCATCAGGAAGGGCAGAGGTGCCCATCTCAAGGTTGCAAAGCCATTAGTTAACAGCTACCCAGGGTCATGCCCAAGGCTGGAGGCAGCACTGGGACCTTCAGACGCCAGGTCTTTGCCCATCTCTACACCCCATTGCAACGCCAGAGGCCCCTGTGTTACTGGCAAGCCCTCTGGTCAGTGGCCGGGCCTCTCGTTGATCCCAGTCTCCAGACCTTCTCTCCCATCCCCTGCTGGTGACCACCTGTTTGAAGCTCCTGGACTCCCTTCAGCCCCTCCCTGCTGACCTCCCTCTCCCCCTAGGGGTCAGCCTGCTGGTGCCCAATGGAGCCATCCCCCAGGGCAAGTTCTACGAAATGTACCTCCTTATCAACAAGGCAGAAAACGCCCTGTGAGTAGAGACCCCAGCCCTGGCCCGGGTCGCCCCCTGCTCTTCCTCTCTCCCTGCTGCCTGTTCAGCCTGGGCCCAAACACCCCCTTCTCCCCTCCTGAGCCTGATCCTAGGCCAGAGCCAGTCCTCCGAGGAAAAACACTGCTAGATCTTATGTCCACATCCAAAACGTGCAGAACCAGCACAACAAATCATATAACTCGAAAGGCAATTTACAAGCCAGCTACAATATGACAAAAGGCTAATCTCCTATGCAAAGAGGTTTTAGAGACCAATGAGGGAAATTTAACATCTCGGTACAAAAACGGGCAAAGGATATGAACAAGTGATTTACACACACTCTTTGTTATGCACACACACACACACACACACACTCACACACACACTGGCCAATAGGTTATGAGAAATGGTTCAGCCTAATTTGTAGTCCAATAGTAGCTCAAACAGCCATGGGATATGGGGAGTTTTTTTGCTTCATGAATTCATAGGAATGCCTTCATGCCGGCAAAAGTGTGGCACGCAGCCCGCCATGGCATGCTGGCAGGAGTGTAGAGCGGTTACCAGCTTCCCAGAGGACAGTTGAGCAGCACCATTAAAACACTCCACCAGGCCCTAGCTGGTCCGGCTCAGTGGATAGGGTGTCGGCCTGCGCACTGAAGGGTCCTGGGTTCGATGCCAGTCAAAGGCACATGCCCAGGTTGTGGGCTTGATCCCCAGTGGGGGACATGCAGGAGGCAGCCAATCAATAACTCTCTCTCGTTGGTGATGTTTCTATATCTCTCTCTCCCGCTCTCTCGGAAGTAAAAAAATATTTATTAAAAAACAAAACAAACAAAAAAACTCCACGAGTGCAGTCTTTGAAATGTGAGCAAAGGTTTGGCTATGAGAACGTCATAGTGTGATAGCAAAACTCTGGAAACAATCTGCAGGTTATGCCGTTTCTCTGCCTCTCCTTAACCCCTGACCTCTGGGAGCCCCGGGGGTGGAGACCTGCCCCTGTCACCCCAGGAACAGGGACAGGTGGGAGCCCAGCACCCCTCTAAGCCCTGGCTGAGCGCTCGGCCCCCCCCTCACTGCCGCCTCCTGTCCCCAGCCCACTTTTGGAAGGGACCCAGACAGTATTGAGCCCCTCGGTGACCTGCGGGCCCACAGGCCTCCTGCTGTGCCGCCCGGTCATCCTCACGGTGCCCCACTGTGCCGAAGTCAGTGCCAGCAGCTGGATCTTCCAGCTCAAGACCCAGGCCCACCAGGGCCACTGGGAGGTGAGGAGCCACAGCTGGGTGGGGGGGGCCGGGCCCACCATCTGAACCTGCCTCCTTTCCCCTGGCCCGGCCTGGGTGGACCCTGCACAGCCTTGACTGTGACCTGTCTCCCCACCCCCCACTCTCACCTGCAGGAGGTGGTGACCCTGGATGAGGAGACCCTGGACACCCCTTGCTACTGCCAGCTGGAGGCCAGGTCCTGCCACATCCTGTTAGACCAGCTGGGCACCTACGTGTTCACGGGTGAGTCCTACTCCCGCTCAGCCGTCAAGCGGCTCCAGCTGGCCATCTTCGCCCCAGCCCTCTGCACATCCCTGGAGTACAGCCTCAGGGTCTACTGCCTGGAGGACACGCCTGTAGCGTTGAAGGTAAGGCCAGGCCACAGGTGCCCGCACAGCCCTGGCACACTGTAGATACATCACCCCTGGCCAGCCAGCCACCTGGTACCTTCTAGTGTTCCCCTCCCCAACGTCATGGTATCTTTCAGGCACCCTCCACCATCATCAGCCTCATTCATTCATTCATTCATTCATTCCTCAAACATTGAAATGGCATCAGACTCTGAGATACAGAGGAATCAGGCACAGGTCTTGCCTTTGCCAATCTCCAGGCTGGAGGTGGGAGACAGCAGGCGGTCCCTGATGGTGGTCGTCCAGAGGGTCGAGGGCCGAGGGAGCACCCGCCTGGAAGGGGGAGGCTCTGAGAAGGCTTCCCAGCAGAGCTGGCAGGTTCCAAAGGATGAGTAGGCATGTGGATAGAGGATGAAGGGCATTGCTGGAGGCAACAGCTTCTGCAAAGGCAGGGGTGTCTTTCTGCGGGAACGAAGCGTGCAGAGGGTGTGAGCATGTGAGGGAGAAGGATGGGGGCTGGAGAGACAGGCAGAGCTCAGCTTCCCAGCACTCCTGGGGCCATGCCAAGGGATTTGGAACTTGTCCAGGGGGCAGGGGCATCGACCTGGAGGACACTGGTTCACAGGTGCTCCTTTCCAGCTCCTTTGTCTCCCAGTCTCATGTGACTTGTCTCAAACTCCGAGTTGCCAGATGATGCAACAGAGGTGAAAAGGCCTCGTGGGAGAGTGAGTGTCGCCTGCTGGGACCACTCTGGCCTGAAGTTCCAGGAGGTCCGAATGGGCTGGAGGCTCCCGGGGAATGGCCTGGTGGCCTGGATCTCTTCGTACTGGGCCATTGGCTGATGTCCTGCTTTGCTCAGAGATTGGAGTGGAGATTAAGAGGGACGTTGCCACATTTTGGCATGATGGCTTTCTTTGTTACTCAGTCCTGGTCCATCTGTCCATCTGTCCATCCATCCATCCATCCATCCATCTAACTTTCTGCCATCCCTCTACATACTCTTTCCGTCAACAGTCCCTCTGTCCATCCAGCCTTCACACATCTATCCATTTGCCTTTCCTTCCATCTGTCCTTCTATTTTACAACCATCCATTTGTATATCCATCTGTAGATCCATCTCTCTGTCTGTCTCTATCCATATCTGCTTATCCATCCATTTATTTATCCATCCATCCGTTCATCTGTCCACCCATTTATGTATAAATCCATTTATACCTCCATCCCACTATTTGTTGATTTATTTATCCGCTTTTTTCCTGTCTGTCTGTCCACATATCCACAAGTAAGCCTTCTGTGAGCATTTACCAAATGCCCAGCCCTGTGTTCAGGTGGGTCTCTGCCCTCCAAGTTTCAGCCTGGTTCCTTCTGCCTGAGTCTGTCCCAACCCCCAAGCTTGCAGTAGGAAAGGGCCCATTGGCCAAGTACGATGGGCTCCCCCTTCCTGTTGCGCCACCCACAGGAGGTGCTGGAGCTGGAGCGGACCTTGGGCGGATACCTCGTGGAGGAGCCCAAACCCCTGCTGTTCAAGGACAGTTACCATAACCTGCGCCTCTCCCTCCACGACATCCCGCATGCCCACTGGAGGAGCAAGCTGCTGGCCAAATACCAGGTGAGGGCCGGGCTGCGGGATCGGGAGAGCTGGGACTGGGGTGGGGCACACGTGGGGATCAGCCCAGGGAAGACCAGTTTCCCCTCCCAGGCTCTGCTCCCCCCTCAGCCCTGCAGCCTTGCCCCTCCATCTTTGTCTCCCTCCCACCCCTCTCCAGACTCCCTCCCAGTGGTGCTTAGGCACACCCCCACCATCGACAGCCACACTCTCCCTCCCACCCCGATCACACTTCCCACGCACAGATGTCTTCCACATCATCCTCAAAGAGGCCTTGCCATCCCCGAGAGCACCCAGGCCTGGCAGACAGTCCAAACTTACCTTCGGTGGTCACACCCCTCTGCCCCATCCACCTGGGACACCGAGTCCATTGGCTTCCCAGCCCAGGCACACAGGCGCACACACACACACACATTCAGGCTTGTGCCTTCTTCCCTTTCTCAGCTGAAGGGCCCTTGGCCAGCTCTTCCTCTGCCCTGTTGGGTGGAGAGGCCTGAGCTGCCCCCTGAGAGGTCCCAGCCCTCCCTGCACTGGCCCCATTACCTCCTCTGCCTTCATTCCCGGAGGCAGGGCAGGCTGGGCTTATCTCCTTGACCCGCCTCCCTCCTTCCCCAGGAGATCCCCTTCTGTCACATTTGGAGTGGCAGCCAGAGGGCCCTTCACTGCACCTTCACCCTGGAGAGGCACAGCCTGGCCTCCACCGAGTTCACCTGCAAGATCTGCGTGCGGCAGGTGGAGGGGGAGGGCCAGATATTCCAGCTGCACACCACACTGGCAGAGGTGAGGCGGGGGGCTGGGGCGGCATGCACACCCCATGCTCACCCACATTTGAGTGGAAACGCCATCTCCCACAGAGACATGCCCCCCGCCCCCCAAGTCTGATCTGGGACTTGGGCTCTTTTTGCCAACATCTACCATTTGTTGAGTGCCGACCCTGTGCTTGGCATGTACTGTACCAAGCGACCTACATTTTCTCACTCAAGCTCCACAGCCACCAGGGAAACAAGTCCAGTGATCCCCCGGGAGATGAAAAAGTAGGTTTCAGGGAGGGCAGGTACCATGGACCTGTGTCGGGTCCTTGCTTGGTCCCAGCCTATAGCTGTGCACCCTATAAACCTGGATCGAGGTCCACGAAAGCCAGGCCACCCAGGGGGCAGTGCAGTGGGAAGAGCACTGGGTGTAGGCCTAGGCCCAGTTCTGCCACCAGTTTGGCATGTGATCATGGCAAGTCACTTCCTGTTCTAGACTTCGGGCTCCCCATGGCTTCCTGATCTTGAGGCTGCATTAGCATCCACCCTGGGCAGTGCATCAGCATGGTGTGTCCCCTGAGGGCTGGGAGTCAGGCATGCAGCCCTGGCCCACAGGAGCTGGCCCTCTAGTGGGGAAGGCCTGTCCGGGGCAGGTGGGGACTGACCAGAGCCTCCTCTGCCCCTCTCACCCTTGCCCCCTGCCCTTCCAGACACCCGCTGGCTCCCTGGACGCCCTCTGCTCTGCTCCCAGCAGCGCGCTCACCACCCAGCTGGGACCCTATGCCTTCAAGATCCCGCTGTCCATCCGCCAGAAGATATGCAACAGCCTGGACGCCCCTAACTCGCGGGGCAATGACTGGCGCCTGTTGGCGAAGAAGCTCTCCATGGACCGGTAAGTGTGGGGACACGGACCTGGCCACCTGGGTGTGCCACGTCTGAGACGCCCATTGATTGAGAGGCATGGCGCTCAGCGTGCTGGCCCGCGGCAGTCAGATGAGGCCAGGCACCAGCCAGTGTGAGCACCGTCAGCACCCAGTGCCCGGACGGAGCAGGTAGAGCAGAGACCGCTTGCCGACAGAACTTTCCAGGAGAACTTAACATGCTGGGTCAATGCAATGGCAAGAGTAGCCATTATCATGATGTCATACTTGCTGAGAAACCAGTTAATAGACCTGCATTGAGCAGATGCCAGGTTTACGACATCTTATTAGAAATGGGTGGGGTTGACGAAGACGTCTGAGGCTTTCTTCCTGCTCTCGGGAGCGCACGGGGCGATCAGGCAAGGTTGGAGGTGGGAGGAAGAGAGAATGGAGAGCTGGTTTCTACAGTCACGCCTGGACCCCAGTGTCTTTCAGTGTAATAATGAGATGATGAATGATGATGAGTAAGGCAGTTTCCATGTTACAGCCGAAGAGACTAAAGCTCAGAGAGCTGCAGTGACTTGCCCAGGGCCACACAGCCTGCAAGCAGAGGAATGGGACTCAGACCCAGGACTGCGGGACCCCAGAGCCCCCAGGCTTCCCCCCTCCTCGTGCTCTCCCCCCGCCCCAGGCTTCGGGAGGTGTTGAGCTTTGGGGCAGCCCAGTACCCTTCTTCCCTCCCCCAGGTACCTGAACTACTTCGCCACCAAAGCGAGCCCCACGGGTGTGATCCTGGACCTCTGGGAAGCTCTACAGCAGGATGACGGGGACCTCAACAGCCTGGCCAGTGCCTTGGAGGAGATGGGCAAGAGTGAGATGCTGGTGGCCATGGCCACCGATGGGGACTGCTGAGCCGCCCCCAACTGCGGGCTGCTAGGGACTGGCAGAGGCGGGTGCAGGGAGGTCCAGGCACCTCCTGTGTGGCAGTTCACCTCCGCTGCCCCCCAGTTCACAGCCGGGGTCACCCTCCTCCTCCCTTGCCCTACCCCAGACCACGACCAGCCTTAGGAATCCATGGACTCTGGTGTTCCTCTCCCCCCACCCCCCTCCCCACCCCACCATCTCTCCTGGCTCAGTCCTTCGTGCAGAAACCAGGGTGGGCTGAGGCCTCTGGAAGCGGGAGCAAGGGGGTGGCCCTCCCTCCACCCCCACCCTCCACCTGCAGCCCTGGTTTGTCTTCGTTTCGTTCTTGATTTTCTTCCTCAGCTAATGGTTTCTCCCTGCTCCCTAAGCCCTCTGTCTTCACACCATTTTCCTCTTTGAAGATCAGTCAAGTCCACATGCTTTCTCCATCCAAAAGCTAAAAGGAAAGGAAGCAAACTTGCTTCAGGAAGAAGAAAAACACCAAAACCACACGGGAAAAGGAAAACCCAGTTTCTTAGGAAACGCAAATGATTTATTATCCAGGTATTTGGATAAGTCCTTTTTAAGAAAAAAAAGAGAAAAAGAAAAAAACAACACAAAAAAAATAGAAAACTCTTTTCTTGAGTGTGGGTGTGCTCACGGTTCTGGCCAGGAGCCAGTGTGTGTGTGTGTGTGTGTGTGTGTGTGTGTGTGTGAGAGAGAGAGAGAGAGAGAGAGAGAGAGAGAGAGAGAGACAGACACTGAGCTGGAGCACTTTGCTGCTGCTGACCCCATCTTGGACTGACTTTTACAAGGCCTCCCTCCGTGTCCCCAGTTGTAAAGGCTCAAATGGTACACGTTTCGCTCTAAAGTCTTAAGCAGACGCTGCACACATAAAGCCAAGGAGCCCTGGAGTGGGGCTCTTGAGCCCCAGCTCAAGGTGGGGCTCTCCCTCCACATCCCAGGCAGATACCCCCCGGGCTCCTCTGGGCCCTGAGATGGAACATGTGGGCCACCCAGGCCAGCTGTGCGCCTTGGAGATGGTTTCCAGCTCCTGGAGAGGGGGTGTGGCCAGGAAGCGGGGTCCTAGCAGAGAAAGATGTGGGAGATGAGCCCCCACTGGACACCTCTACTCCACCCGAGGGTGGGGCCAGCCAGGGCCCCCTCCCAGCAGCCTCTGGAGCAGGTTGGCATTCTCCTGAACCCAGGCGTCCAGGAGGCACCCTTCCCCAGCCTGTTTCTCTTCTATAAGACAGAGGGGTGGCGAGAGGGCCTTGTGAGCAGCACAGTCTGTCTGGGCCTCGGTGTGGCTTTGAGAAGCGTGTGGGCAGCAGCCCTGCAGTGGGAGGCAGGGAGTGGGTGGCCCGCCTGCGCAGGACATGCCCTCTGCCCGCCCTGTAGAGGAGAGGGTGGAGGGCACTTTCCCAGCTCTGGTCTCCACAGGCACCTCCCTGCCTCCTCCTCTCACCCTCCCTCTGCTCTGGGAGATCATGAGTAGATCACCTTTGAACAGGAAGGGTTGCCAGTGGAGGGCTGCACCCCCTCACCAGCCTGGACCGGGATGTCCTGAGGGGCCAGCAGGGTCCTGACTCGGGGAGGGACCCGTCCCCGGCCCTTGGCAGCTATCTGACAATGGCTGGGATCAGGCTCCCACAGCTGGCATGGAGACCTCATCAAAG